AGCCCTAGCCAGCATAAATAAATTATGCGACATGGAGAATCTGTGTGAAAGCAAATAAACAGCAACTGATAACTATTGAAACTGAGCTTGTCTAATGTAAGATAAACTATACATCTCTGCCAGGGTGACAGACTAGTTGCTGGACTGCCTGTCCCGTGTCCAGCAGAATAACTAATTGAACCTCCCTGTTATATTGCATTACCTTACCTGTGCAGCAGGAAGCCAAGAACCTCTGTGTCTGATTTGATCCTCAGCCTTAAAGTGTCTCCACCTCATAAAAGATGCACAGATTTCTTCCACTTTATTACTTATTTTCCTTTCGGTGGTTTGTTTCTTTTGCCTCTCAGTGGAACAGATAATAGAAGGTAGAATTGCTCCTCTACCGACCAAACTGAGCATTTTCAGTTACAGGTGAAAGACATTATGCTGACCAGCGTCCCCCTTCATCTTCTCTGATCAACAATAGGGATACAGCTTCCATTATCTTAACACCTTCTATGTATTTATAAACTACTAATTCCAAGCTTCTTGAGACAGCTTTCATTTTCCATGTGGTGATATTAGACTTGTGCAGAATATGTATCTACTTAAGCAATACTTGATTTTTGCTAATTGAAATCAGAATTTGTTTCACATTGTCCCTTTAAGCTGGAAAACAACTCTTAAAAAAAATAGAATGTAAAAGCCGCCCCATACCTCCCATGTGATTTTTAAGGGAGTATCTCTTTGACGTTGTTTTCTTTCCTGCAGGAAAACAGCAGATTTGTAAACTTCCTCCCATCATTGTCTGCAGGCCATCGGAGCCACTCTGCTGATCAGCGCTGCTCCTTTCTTTATCCTGTTTCTGATCCCAGTCCAGTCCAACAGCGACCAGCACCAGAACCTGCTCAAGGTGCTGCTGAGCTTCGCTTCCGGTGGGCTGCTGGGTGACGCCTTCCTGCACCTCATACCACACGCTCTTGGTAGGTTCTTGTTCGTTTTACTGAAATATTACTTTTAAAATTTGTTCCACTTCGTGGGATCATGCAGAATTAGTTTTACTTCTTACAAGCAATAAAAGGAAAACTTTTTATCTATTTTCATCAATATAAGACTGATTCACGTATCTGTTGAAACAGTTTTGTTTATAAAAACCTACATTAATCTACATAATCATCTATTTTATAGAGTCTAAATTAGGGTTGTCAAAAGTATCGATACTCAAAAGTATCGATACTGAAACGTTGTATCCGGATACAATACTCGTTTTTAAAAGTATTGATACAGTGCTACCACCAGTGGCACCTAAGCAGTCATTCATCTAAAGTGCAGAATAGAGGACAATGCACTTTCTGAACACTGTGTAATTGAATAATTCTGTGCACTTTTCAGTTTCAGACTTTTTTTTTGTAAGAGGTGCAGCTACTGATAATTATTTTTGTTTCTTAACCGGTTTGTTTAGTGTCATTGTTATGTGTGCAAAGCATAGCCAAGGAAGGAGCACTTAAAGCTACAGTGTGTAATAATTACAGGGATATACAGTCAGAAATGTAATATATTATACATAACTATCATCTACGAGCTCAGCCTCTTAACCTTAATATTTGCATTGCCTTAGAATTCGTTATTTATAATTACATAGGAGCGGGTCTCGCAGCCATGGAG